TTTGTCTCTCTCTCTCTCTGTCTCTCTCTCTGTCTCTGTCTTTGTCTCTCTCTCTCTGTCTCTCTCTCTCTCTCTGTCTTTGTCTCTCTCTCTCTGTCTCTCTCTCTCTCTCTGTCTTTGTCTCTCTCTCTCTGTCTCTCTCTGTCTCTCTCTCTGTCTCTCTCTCTCTCTCAGGTGTGGTCATGGACATTGATGGTTTGGTTTTAGCTGAAATTCTTCATAAACTGGGGGCGGGGCGATCAAAGGCTGGGGAACCTGTCAATCACAGTGTGGGGGCGGAGCTGCAGGTGTCCCTTGGTCAAAGGGTCGAGAAAGGTGAGAGATGATGAAGATGAAGATGAAGATGAAGATGAAGATGATGATGATGATGATGATGATGATGATGATGATGATGTGATGTTTGTATTCTCAGGCGCCCCCTGGCTGCGGCTTCATTACGAGGATCCGGCTCCGACTCCAGACCAAATGAGTCGCCTGCAGAAAGCTGTGACTCTGGGGACAAACACTCACACACAACTCAAACACAGTCTGGTGAAGGAACTACTAATTCATTAAAACCACAAGACAAATACAACTTCCTGACCAGACTATTTTTATAACCTGTCATTAATGGAATAATAATAAACCATTGCTTCAAAAAATCAGGACGCGGGGTTTACTGCAGCCCACCACCAGGGGGCAACCGAGATGTTTTGGATTCACTTTGGTCCATCTTTATTTGTAGTCTGTGCAGAAACTGCTTCTTTATCTAAAGTCTTTAATCAATAAAATGTCGACCCTCGATGATAACTCCACATCTGGAACCTCTGCAGGAACCTCCTGGAAACAAAAGACAGAAGAAAAACAGTCAGTCCATTATTTCACAATAAAATGTGTTTGACGTCACATTTGATCATCGTTCATGTTTTTAATTCTTCAACGTGTGAAGGTTCAGTCTGACTCTGACCTCTAGTGGACAAACAGCTACACTGCGTCCTGACACTAAATGTTGCTCCGAGGAAAAGGTGAACTTAATAACAATAA